CCGTCCCACTGCTCAGGCGTGTAGATGAAGAGAAAAGCCCCTGTTACGCTCAGACAACAGCAGCCAGGACAACCTGACATTTCATGTCTTTCCTGCATTGCAGCACCTGGCTTACTGAACACTGAGAAATTAGCACGGAAAATTATTTAATAGAATCATAGAATCATAGAGCTGGAAGAGACCTCAGGAGGTCTTCAAATCCAGCCCCCTGGCCAACACAGGACCAATCCCAACTAACTCAACCCAGCCAGGGTTTTGTCAAGACAAGACATAAAAACTTCTAGGATGGAGATTCCACCACCTCCCTAGGTAACCCATCCCAGTGCTTCACTACCCTCCTAGTGAAATAGTTTTTCCTAATATCCGACCTAGATCTCTCCCACTGTAACTTGATACCATTGTTCCTTGTTCTGTCATCTGTCACTACTGTGAACAGCCTTTTTCCATCCTCTTTAGAACCTCCCTGCAGGAAGTTGAAGGCTGCTATCAAATCCCCCCTCACTCTTCTCTTCTGCAGACTAAACAAACCCAAATCCCTCAGTCTTTCCTCATGGGTCATGCGCTCCAGCCCCCTAATCATGTTGGTTGCCCTCCACTGGACCCTGTCCAATGAGTCTACATCCTTTCTATAATGGGGGGCCCAGAACTGGACACAATACTCCAGATGTGGCCTCACGAAAGCCGAATAAAGGGGAATAATCACTTCTCTGGATCTTCTGGCAATGCTTCTCCTAATGCACTCTAATACGTCATTAGCCCTTTTGGCTACAAGGGCACACTGTTGATTCATATCCAGCTTCTCATCCACTGTAATTCCCAGGTCCTTTTCTGCAGAACTGCTACTTAGCCATTCAGTCCCCAGCCTGTAACAATGCTTGGGATTCTTCCATCCCAAGTGCAGGACTCTACAAATGTCCTCGTTTAACCTCATCAGATTTCTTTTGGCCCAATCCTTGAATCTGTCTAGGTCACTCTGGACCCTATCCCTGCCCTCCAACGTACCTATCTCCCCCCTAGCTTAGTGTCATCTGTGAACTTGCTGAGGGTGCAATCCATCCCCTCATCTAGGTTATTAATAAGGATGTTAAACAAACCTGGTCCTAGATCAGATCTTTGGGGCACTCCTCTAGAAACCAACCACCAGCCTGACTTCGGGCCGTTGATCGCTACCCGTTGGGCCCAACAATCTAGCCAGCTTTCTATCCATCTTAAAGTCCATTTATCCAGTCCATATTCCCTTAACTTGCTGGCAAGAATATTGTGGGACACTGTATCAAAAGCTTTGCTAAAACCAAGTTATATCACATCCACTGACTTTCCCATATCCACAATTACTCATCACAGAAGCTAATCAGATTGGTCAGGCACGACTTGCCCTTGATGAATCCATGTTGACTATTCCTGATCACATTCCCCTCTTCCAAGTGCTTCAAAATGGATTCCTTGGGAATCCCCTCAATGATTTTTCTGGGTACTGAGGTAAGGCTGACTGGTCTATAGTTCCCTGGATAGTCCTTCTTCCCTTTTTTTAAGATGGGTACTACATTTGCCTTTTTCCTGTCATCTGGGATCTCTCCCGATCTCCATGAGTTTTCAAAGATAATGGCCAACGGCTCCACAATAACATTTGCCTACTCCCTCAGCACCCTCGGATGCATTAAATTCGGTTTTCAAAGATAATGGCCAACGGCTCCACAATAACATTTGCCTACTCCCTCAGCACCCTCGGATGCATTAAATTCGGGCCAATGGATTTATGTATGTTTAGCTTTTCTACATAGTTCCTAACTTGTTCTTTCCCCACCGAGGGCTGTCCACCTCCTTCCCCTACTGGGTTGCCTAGTGCAGTAATCTTGGAGCTGACCTTGTCCGTGAAGACAAAGGCAAAGAAAGCATTGAGTACGTCAGCTTTTCCCACATCATCTGTCACTAGGTTACCTCCCTCATCCAATAAGGGATCCACACCCTCTCTGATCACCCTCTTATTGCTAACATGGCTGTAGAAACCTTTCTTCTTATCCTTCACATCCCTTGCTAGCTGCAATTCCAATTGTGCTTTCGCCTTCTTGATAAGTCCCCTGTATTCTCGAACAATATATTTATACTCCTCCCTAGTCATCCATCCAAGTTACCACTTCTTGTAAGCTTCCTTTTTGTGTTTAAGCTCACCAAGGATGTCCCCGTAAGCCAATCTGGTCGCCTACCATATTTGCTTTTCTTCCTGTGCCTTTAATAAGGCTTCTTTAAAATACTGCCAGCTCTCTTGGACTCCTTTCTCCTTCATGTAAGCATCCCAGGGAATCCTGCCCATCAGTTCTCTGAAGGAGTCAAAGTCTGCTTTTCTGAAGTCCAGTTTCCCTACTATTTCCTCTCGGTTTATGAGCAGCAGGTCAAGCTCCCTGGCTCTTTCCTTCAGCACTTGTACCAAGAAGTTATCCCCAGCATTCTCCAAAAACGTCCTGGTTTGTCTGTGTACTACTGTATTAGTCTCTCAACAGATGTCAGGGTGCTTGAAGTCCCCCATGAAAACCAGGGCCTGGAAGCTTCTCTCAGTTGTCCAAAGAAAGCCTCGTCTACCTCATCCACCGAATCTGGTGGTCTATAGTAGACCCCAACCACAACATCACCCCTGTTGCTTCTACCTCTAAAATTAACCCATAGACTCTCAACAGTCTTTTCTCCCTCTAAATACTGGAGCTCCGAGCAATCATACTGCTCTCTTACATACAATGCAACTCCTCCTCCTTTTCTCCCCCGCCTGTTCTTCCTGAACAGTTTATACCCTTCCATGACAGTGCTCCAGTCATGTGAGTCATCCCACCAAGTCACCATTACTCCAATCAAATCATAGTTCTTTGACTGGACCAGGGCTTCTGATTCTTCCTGTTTATTTCTCAGGCTTCTTGCATTTGTGTACAAACACCTTAGATAGCCAGTTGATTGCCCTACCTTCTCCATTCAAGTCAGAGGTCCTCCTTTGTTGCTCATTCCTCCTTGTGTTTCTTCCCTGTATCCGGCTTCCTCACTTACCTCAGGCGTTAGGTCACTGTCCCCCAACGAACCTAGTTTAAAGCCCGCCTCACTAGGTTTGCAAGCCTTCCCATGAAGATACTCTTTCCTCTCTCCTTGTGCCCGGAACAGAGTCCCATGGCACTTAATTCTCAGTGAGCTTTGTAACAACGCGTAGCAATGATCTTCTAACAAAATGGAACAGACAGTGCAGGCAACATCAAAGATCAACTGTCCAAAGCCAGAAAGTATAGATTGAAGAGAACCCGTCTCCTCTCACAAGAGTATGTGACAATAGGCGATGGGGTGGCTTATGGAGTGTGAGCTCCTCTGAGTTCCGAGAGAAGCCTCTAGGCAAAACTGGGGGGCACTGCAGGTGCATCCTCTGGGGTATTCTTGCTATTGGTGCATGATACTCAGCCTTCCGTACCAGTGGCTGCGAGTTCTCAACTGGATGCCCTTGAATTTTAGGGCACGGTGCATCTCCTACTGACAGTGTTCCACGGGCAAGTCTGAGAGTTCCAGGGCAGACTGTATGGCCTTTTTTTGTTCGTTGCAGCTTGTGATTGCTACACTGAGTTTTATTCACTCTTCTAATGGCTGGGCATGGTTTTGGGCAGTAGCAGGGCCGTTGACTGGTTGTGACTGCATCGCCCACTGCACTAATGTTTTTGTTTGTTTTTAATAAACTCTTGGCAGCCTAGCAATTTAGGATTATTGGTATGATATAAACCTGCAAATACATAGAATAAATAAAGGCATCTGATGGCAGGAGATTGTGGGGAAGGGACTCAGTAAACAGATACAAATAACTCCTCTCTCCTGCCTCAGCTCCGCTTCGAGACATTGGTTTTTTTAAAAAAGAAGGAAACCAACATGAAGTGTAAAGTGAGCAACAAGTAAATGCGTAAGGATCTGGACCAGCTCCCATTGAAGCTAATGGCAGTCAGAGCATTTATTTATTAGCTGGGGTTGGTTTGTAAGCCTCTCTCCCATTGCCATATGCTGGTCTAATATCTCTGTCATTGCCATTTCGGTCTTATCTAATGCTCAGCCAGGTAGGGTAAGATTAGTCAAGTGAATAAATATTTGTAGGATTTGATCCTTAGATTGTACCTTGAGGAAGGGACCCAAGGCCAGATTCTGATCTCTGTTATACTAATAAATGTAGAGTAACTTGATTGTGTTCAATGACATCACTTTAAGTCAATTACAGTTTATATGATTTTAATTGAGTTATTCTGGATTTATATGACAACCTGGGTCATCAGCAGGGACTGAACCTGGGATATTTTTATCTAAAATTACAAGCCTTTACTGTTTGAGTTAAAGGACTAAATGCATCAGGTAAGAATGGTACTGGCCCATACTTCTTTTTATGTGGACCAGCTACTTGAGGGGGACAAAGCCTCAGTGCATGTAAATAAGGTAAAAATTTAATCCCAGTGATTTTGGGTGAAAACTGACTCCACTTCAGTAGATGGGAGTTTTACCATTGATTTCAGCGGGTCCAGGATTTTGCCCTTTGTCTTTAAAGCGCTGTACCCACCTGTGATTATATTTGAGTAGATAATAATAAAGACAAAGCCATAAAAGGATTAGCTAACCCTGTTTTTGTCTCATTCTCATGCATATAGTTGTGTATCCTAGTGTTACCATAAGCAACTTCAGCAGGTAAAGCAGCAGACTTTTAAACTGAGGATCTTGGGTTTGAATCCCTGGTGAGGCAAGACAGCCTTTTCACCCCCTACCTTCCTCTTTATCTTCCTCCATGTGGGCAATGCAAGAAATATGTCCCTTATAAAAAAGATATCAAAACCACGTTGGTTTTATTTTTACATATTGTTTATGTATTTTGTTTTCAAACATACTCAAGCTAGAGGGGTACAGGCCGATGGTGCCAAAGAAAGGGAATTTTCACAATGTGGGAAAGCAAACAAATGACAAGCCATTTAACTTATTATTGTCTTTTTTCACTGTCTCCACTTCAGGACCACATTTCTTCTATGGGCGCTGAACTCCCAGCTACCTATGCCTATTACCTGTGATGGAAGAACTTGATGTTAATGTGAGGTAGGAGAAACAATGCAGCATACTGTACATTGCAGATCTTCTGGCTACGGATCTGCAGGAGGTCGATAATAACATGGTGTGTTTGCAAAGCTGTGGGATATCTGATTTTTCTGTGTGTTTGTATTGTTAGATCACTGCTACTGCTGCCATATTTGGTTTTAGTTTTCCTTGAGTATGCATGATTAAATAGCCTTCCTCTTTATAAAAGTGTTATCATCAGAGCCAAACGCACAGTAGTGTAATACATTACTAAACTCTGTATCACATCCTGAACACCCACAAGCCGGATCCTCACCTGAGGGAGCTCTGTTTAAGTAGAGGGAAGGGTGAGGAGAGAGGAGTTTACATCAGCTGAGGATCTGGGTAAGGGTGGGAAGAGAGGAGTTTACACCAGCTGAGGACCTGGTTCTAGGTTTTTATTAAAAAAAAAAGTAAACATTTTTATTTTAAAAATTAAGAGTCTGGTTGTCCTCCTACTCGTGCTGAGGTAAACCTGGAATAACACCACTGAAGTCAGTTCAGAGATCCTGTAGTCCTCAAGAGGAAAATTTTAGCTGTGTTTACTTTGTTCCAATTTAGTGGTAGTATGCTGCTCTTGGTTTGTGCATGCTAATATCAAATAGGAGAGCTCCTTGTAATGCATGTGCCCTTATACTCCAGGGTTAGTGTGTTTGGGGCCTGATCCAAAGGCCATTAAAGTCAATGGAAGACCTGTCACTGACTTGCGGTTTGACTCAGACTCTTCATTGCTTAGGAAAACCACAAACTCCTCCTGGCTTGCAGTCAGTTTCTCTCTTTCACGCCTTGTGCAACTCTGTAAATGTTTTCAGAAATCAGTGTTTTATTGAGTACTGAACAGGTCACATTTATAACCTGGCAATCGATACTGAGAGGTAATGTGTTTTGCTCAATGAAATTTGTTTTGGCTTTGCTATGCCAGTAACCTAGCACAGTACCAATGCTGCTTGCTTTTTTTCTGCAAGCGCTGATTCTTAGCATGATATCATGTTACCCACAACTTCTCTCCACTTCCTTTGAAGATATCAGAAAGCTCCTCTTCATTATTGATTAATAAAAGTAGACTTATTAACACCCCCCAAAAAACTTTTCACCATGTAGGCTGTTTGTTGGCTTTTTGCAATTCATTAGGAACAGCCACATTTGATCAGGCTTATAATCCATTTAGACCAATGGCTCTGAATCTTTGCCAACTAGTGAACCCTTCTCAGGAGTCTGATTTGTCTTGGTTACCCCAAGTTTCATGTCACTTAAACCTACTTGCTTACAAAATTAGACAAGAATACAAAACTGCCACAGCACACTATTATTGAATAATTGGTTGCTTTCTCATGTGTACTACATAATACATTGATTGGCTTTCCTCCACTGCAGAGAACAGTTTAAGCTAAAATAGACTGTTTCCTTTGAATAGAAACCAAAAATACCACTCCTTTCAAAGGTCATAGAAGAAGAGGGTTGGAAGACCAATCCCAACTAAATCATCCCAGCCAGGGCTTTGTCAAACAAGGCCTTAAAAACCTCTTAAGGATGGAGAGTCTACCACCTACCTTGGGAACCTATTCCAGTGCTTCACCACCTTCCATGTGAAATAGTTTTTCCTAATATCCAATCTAGACTTCCCCCACAAGGAGGACAACAGTGCTCCTCATTCTGTCATCTGCCACCACTGGGAATAGCCTGGCTCCCTTCTTGTTGGGACCGCCTCCCCTGCCCCCTTTCAGTTAGTTGAAGTTAGATGATGAAGAGTTAGATGTTATAAGAACCTTGATTCCCTATGTTGCCAGGTTGCCATTTAAAATATTTTAAGTAAAATCTGTAGTCTCAGTAAGTGGAAAGTGTCCCTTTAAACATGACTGAAAGGGACACTTTTTCAAATATGTCCCCTCCCAAAATACTCTTCAAATGTGTCCCCCCCCTCTTGGAAACTTTTTTTTTTCAGTAGCTGATTTTGTCACATTCAGGTAGAACTGTGAAAGCCAGATCTCTGATGGGAGATTTCTCTCTCTTACTCAGTAATTATTTAAACCTACTTAAACAAGGAAGAGCTCTGTGGCATCTTAGGGCATGTTTACACTAGGAGATTGTTTTGAAATAAATAATAATTCAAAAAATAACTATTTTGAAATAGTATGTCTACACTACAAGGCTGCATCGAAATAATGCAGAATTATTTCAGAACAGAACAGCACATCTGCTGTTTAGATTTGTGATTAGAGCCTGCGTCATACTTAAAGCCTCTGGAAGCACTCCAGGGAGGGCACGAGGAGGGAAGACATTTCTGTAGCTGCTTTCTGAGGCTAGCTGTGCTTAAAGGGGCTCCTCTTTACATGCCATTCCTCAACTGCCTACCCCCTCACAAGATATCAAATTCATGATCTGAGCTCTGGTTGCCCTTGCGGATGCCATAGCACTTCCAACATGGAGCTGGAGCTGCTGCAAAGCAGTGCCAGGCTCATGGACCTCGTGCTGCACCTCATGGTGCAGTTCATCCAGACTGCCCATGTTCTGCTTCAGGACAACGATGACCAGCCTGAACCGCAGGATCCTTTCCCCTTGGCTCTGGTGCTACTGCTGCAGCAAAAGGTCCTCAATGCCCTGCACACCATCAAACACCGCTTCTGGTGGAGGGAGACCAGTTCCAACTGATGGAACCTCATCGTCATGCAGCAGTGGGACAACCAGCAGTGGCTCCAGAACTTTCACATGTAGAAGACCACCTTCTTGGAGCTCTGCGAGTGGCTCACCCCTTCCCTCAGGCAACAGGACATCTGCATGAGACCTGCCATCCCCCTGCAGAAGTATGTCACCATCACCCTCTGAAAGTTCACCATGCCAGACAACTACCACTCCATGGGGAATCAGTTTGGCTTGGTTGGGGCCATGCTCCTGCAAGTAGTCAAGGCTAACAGCACCATCTTGCTGTGGAAGGTCATCACTCTGGGGAACGTCAACCCCATCGTGGATAGATTTGCTGCCATGGGCTTCCCCAACTGCAGGGGGGGCCATAGATGACACTCATATACCCATCCTCGCACTACCACTCCATGGGGAATCAGTTTGGCTTGGTTGGGGCCATGCTCCTGCAAGTAGTCAAGGCTAACAGCACCATCTTGCTGTGGAAGGTCATCACTCTGGGGAACGTCAACCCCATCGTGGATAGATTTGCTGCCATGGGCTTCCCCAACTGCAGGGGGGGCCATAGATGACACTCATATACCCATCCTCGCCCCCAACCACCATGCCTCGGACTACATAAACTGAAAGGGGTACTTCTTTACGGTACTGCAGGCATGGTTCGCAGACATTAATGTTGGCTGGTTGGGGAAGGCGCACGATGCCTGCATATTCCGGAACTCAAGCCCAGGTGATTGGTGGCCTGCTCTAATCAAGTCAGGGTGGAAGTGGCTCATTCATAAGTGCTATGTGGTATGAATTGAGAACAGGGCTTGTTGCAGGAATAGGTCCCTGCACAGAATGGCCACCAGGGCACCTATGCTTTTTCCTCTTTCTTTTTTTTGAGAAAAAAACCCTTTTCCCCATCCACACACACCTTTTTGAGGAAGAGCTCTTTTGCAAAAAGGCGTTCTTCCTTTTCAAATGGGGAATACCTACGCTGGAAAAGCGCCTCTCTGTTCTTTCGATTTTTTTTTTTTTTTGGGTGCAAAAATGTGCTTGAGGTGTGGATGCGCTGCAATTTTTTTTGGAAAAACAGCTGTTTTTCTGGAAAAAAATCTGTAATGTAGACATAGCCCCAGGAAACTACCCCTGCAACAAACCCTGTTGCCAACTCTGACTGTATATCTATACAAGTGACACCATCACAGGACCTAATCACGTAAGCCAGACCATCAGGAGCTCATCCACCAACACGATATATGCCATCAAGTGCCAGCACTGCTCCTCTGCCATGTATATTGGCCAAACGGGACAGTCTCTATGCCAAAGGATAAATGGACACAAATCAGACATCATAAACATGGAAGAGAACACTTTAATCTCCCTGGACTTTCAGTAATGGATTTAAAAGTAGCTATCCTTCTACAAAAGAATTTTAAAACCCAGTTAGAAAGGGAGACATCTGAACTGGAGTCCATTTGCAAATTCAATACAATAAAAAATGAGGAGCAACTTTAGTTTGAACCAAGAGGTTTAATTCGAACTAACGCGGTCCAGAGTGCACTTCCTGGTTTGAATCAGCTGGCGATCAGAATAGCTCGCGGGCGTGATTATGCTAATGAAGCACAGGATATTTAAATCCCCGCTTCATTAACAATTTTGGTCGCCTACATTTGCATCCTTAGTTCGAACTAGGGTGCAAGTATAGACTTACCCTTAGTCTCTAAGGGTATGTCTACATTGCATTCCTCTTCCAAGAAGGAATGCAAATGCAGACAAGTGAAATTGCAAATGAAGCGCGGATTTGAATTTCCCACGCTTCATATGCATTATTGTGGACCACCGCTTTTCCGAAATAGCGTTTTACGAGAAAACAAACGTGGTCTCCTGCAGGGTTATTTCGAGGAAAAAGCCCTTCCTTCGAAATGACCAAAAAATGAGGAGTGATAGAAATGTAGCCATGTTAGTCTGGGGTAGCTGGAACAAAAAACAGGCCTATGTAGCACTTTAAAGACTAATGAGATGGTTTATTAGGTGATGAGCTTTCGTGGGCCAGACCCACTTCCTCAGATCAAATAGTGGAAGAAAATTGTCACAACCATATATACCAAAGGATACAATTTTAAAAAATGAACACATATGAAAAGGACAAATCAAATTTCAGAACAGAAGGGGGATGGGGGGGAGGTAAATGTCTGTGAGCTAATGATATTAGAGGTGATAATTGGGGAAGCTATCTTTGTAATGGGTAAGATAATTAATGTCTTTGTTTAAACAAAGTGTAAATTGTCGAATTTAAGCTTACATAGTCCTGTTTTTTGTTCCAAAAAATGAGGAGTAAGGGTTATTTTGAAGGAAGGATT